CTTATTTATTAGCCAACCTAATAGAATAACTGCTCTCAAAATTCCTCGCATAATCGAATACTCTAAGAAATCATTTTTCCAAGCCTCTGAATGACAGAATTATTTAACTAAAGACCTTTTTTCATTTATTCGACTATTCGAATAATTAAATAATTGGACTTTCTCAAATATTAATATTGGAATAGTCAAACAATTCTAATGAATTATTTGGAAATAAATATTCGGTTCTATCTACGAAAAGACAGCCTTTGATATTTACAAAACAAAAACTTCCATTCATTCCAGGACTTTTTCCACAATCTTGTAGGGTGTTTGACAAAATTACTATGCAAAAAAGTCTTTCATAATATACTTTTCCAAAATGCCCTGAAGATTCTTCGTAACCCATAGAACTTTACATAATAATCTTCTCTTCCAAAATAGTAGCTACTCTATTTACCACTGGTAGCTTCAAACAGCTACAGCCAACAAGGAAAGCACTTCTAGTTGAAATGGCTTAGATGAAGCTCATACCACTTCGAAGAGGATTGCACGGACGCTCCAGATCTGCCTTCATTATCTACTAAGCGCCTCTAAACTCCGAGACATTTTTAGGAAAAATGAATGCATTCAGATAGTCTTTCCAGCGCTTAAAGGCAATGTTAAGTATTAGCATATTAGACGAAATGTATCCATTGCATGAACTGCTCTGATACTCGACATGGACCATTTGAGCAAATTTTTGTTCCACTTTTGCCTTACAATTTTTTGATCCGAAAAAACGCCCATAACTCGGTGTTCAGAGGCACTTGGCAGATAGTGAAAGCAAATATGGAATCGCTGTGCAATGGTTCTCATCTGAGAAGACATCTTCGGCTGAACACGGTTCCCTTGTAAATTCGTTAGCCAATAATGCTTTGTTTGTTACTTTTATTGGGTCGTTTCATATTCGTAGAAATCTTTCTTTGAGAAGCGGTCGATCTTGTATATAACATTGAGAAGAGCTAATCATGCTCTTTGAATTTAACTACTTACCTTCGATGAAAGCTGATCCTGTGGATTGTGTATGCGCAAGCCTTTCGAATCTCGTAAGTTTTCTGTGAACAAAGATACAAAAATTTTCAACTTTCGGGCATCCGAAAGTGTAGAGGATGTCCATGAGCTATCGCCCTAGGCGAATCAGCCGTCATGATAGAATATTTCGGGAAAAAGTTATATTAGATGCCGTCGCCGGCGACACTGTATATCACTTGTGCCGCGCCCAGCGGAGATGAGTAGTAATTTTGCATTTTGTATTCGTAGTCCGCGAGATATTGTGATGCGACGCTAATGCCACCTGACTCTGATGACCACTCGTCCTTCCCACAAATTACGAGCGGTGTGCTGCTTAGCTCTTTTCGCAACAATTGTTTTGATTAGGTGTTCCAAAGACCCGTTTCTAAAGTTCAGCTTTGACTAGCCGTAACTCTTTCTAGAAATGATCGATGCGTTGAAGATACACTTGGAGAATTCTTTCTGTGCTGAACTCGACTCAGTAGCTACAAAAGTTTATTCTGAAAATTGCCAAGCACTTTTTTCGACCCCCGACCACTTGGCAAAGCAAACTCATCTGAGAGGTAGTAATAGCACAACTGCTCATTTGTAGCCAGTGGTCGGTTTAGCAATGATCCTTGCTTTGAATTGAAATAAAAATTGAAAAAGTACAGAAAACCACTCAATTTGCTCTGTCTAAGGTAGCAGGAAAAGGACTTTGGAACAAGATTGCCCGACACTGGTAATCTTTTGCTCAGTCAAGAAAAGGCACGTGTGCCAGATGATAGACCAACGGTCGTGTTTTTCAACGGACCCTGAGGGCAAACCTTACCTTTGAAGGTAAGTTTTACCCTTAGGTTTCATTTTCCGGATCCTTGAGGGTAAATCCTACTTAGGGTGAATCTTACCTCAGAGAGCGATCAACCCGTATTCACGAACATGGCTCATCAGGGTAATTAACATTAGCATAGACAAGATTGGATTCACTCTGACACTTCGTACAAACATCAAGTGATCTCTCGATGCACTAATCAGTCATAGCGATATTGTCTTGACAAAAACACATATTTATGGCTACTACTATCTCAAACTTCCTGGGCCCTCTTTTAATGTTTCCTTTCAGTTTTATCATCTGGTACTATATCCGGCAGGTCACGGGAAAAGATATATTTTTGAATAAGGTAAATTTTCACAAACAGGGAAGGGTCACGAAGTCGGAGTGGCCGACTACAAATTGCATACCATTAGTGAGAGTTTGGAACGCTGACTTCAAATTTGCTTTTCGTATCTGCAGAACACCTCTAAAAAAGAAGTTATGAGCATTTTTGAGCAAAACAAATGAATTATTGGCCGGCTAGCAATCGCTACGCCTCTCTAGACGTCAAATGAAGACTTAGGAACTACCAACACATTAGGCAGAAGAAAGTTATTGTAGGAAGTATCCTGACACTTGCCGCTGCTTCATTTGGAGGTTAGGGAGACTGTAGTGATGCATACTACCCAGCCATTAGATCAGTTTACCGCCTTAGAAAATGCCCATAGTTTCTTTCCCAAAGATGCTCTGCAGATAAGAAAAGCAAATTTGGCATCAGCGCTCTAAGCTTTCACTAACGATATGAGTTTGTAATGATCGACCACTTTAACTTCGTAACCCTCCCTTGTAAGTACACTGATATGGAGAACATCAACATAATTTGCAAACCAACTTCAAGAATTTTCGTATTATGGAACTCCCTTATCCAAATTTAAGTGCTGTTGTGAATGGTTTGGTACATGATCAAACTACTGTAGCTCAAGCCCTCATCTTGGAGCAGCCAAAGCGAGGGACAGGCAGCAATGGCAACTTCTGCGTTTTGGCCCGTACGCTTGAGAAAGGGACGCCTGATAAGAGAAGTCTGTTTAGTCAAAATAGCCTTATGACACCCACGCTGCTTTGGCGAGTATCGCACATTGGCGCCAAAACTGCCTTCATTATCTGCCAAGCGCCTCTGGACCCCAAGTGACCATTTTTAGAACGAGAGAATTGAATGCAGACCTTTACCCCAAATTCTCTGTTGAGTACCTGCCGTCAGTGAAAGAACTTGGCCAGAATAAAGAATTTCATTCATAGTGAACACTGTCTAAAGCAGTCAGAGTTACAGACCTATAGAGAATTTAGGTAAATTAATAGTTACAATCTTTCCAGTGCTAAGGTAAAGCAATGCTACGTTTTAGCATATTAGACAAAATGCCCCGATACTCGGCACCGGACCATTTGAACAATTTTGCTCCAATTTTGCGTTCAATTTTTTGACCCGAAAAACGCCCATAACTCGACGTCCAGAGGCGCTTGGCAGATAAAGGCAGATTTGGAACCAGCGTGCACCTCTTCCAAAGCAGTATGGGTCTCATCTCAAAAGGCACTTCGACTAAATACGCTTCCCTTGTAATATCAAAATAAGTAAGTATTTTGGACAGAAATAGTCAGCACCGTAATCTGCATAATGTGATGTATGAGAGTTTTCGATCGACTCAGGAACAACGACGTATGAGTTTTATCCTTTAAAAGAAGTACACTACGTTTCTGACCGTTCACCTTGCCAATATGATTATCCGCTCAACTTCTTGGTATGGTTACAGTCTATGAGTTAAACGAAAAGAGTTCATTGCAACGACCGAGGAACTTACCCCAGGTGGTCATTCTTTGGACACTTATATAAGGTCAGGTCCCCGCCTCGAATAAGGCAGAAGTGCAGCTTTGGTATAGACACCTGATGGTTTCGTGCGGGACCACAACTGCATTGAGACGATGTTAGTGACTTGTAATTGCAATTCCATCTTAATATCTATTTTCTTTGGCGTTGTCTTGCCTAACGGAGGGTCGCAAAAAGGGCCGGTTGCCACAAGATGCATATCATCACAAAGAGCTTAAAGGCTGCGTTCATACTGATGCCGAAGTCCGGGAACAGTTCCAGCCCAGCGCTCATTTCAGGCGCTTTGCTGGAACTGTTCTCGGACTTCCGGATCGGTATGAACGCAGCCAAAGCGCTGATCTGCTTTCCATATCTGCAGGATGCTTAACTTATGGGATTTTGTTTTTGGGAATTTTACAAGGGTGAGAAAAGCCATAACTATCAATTCCTAGGCATTTTGATCTCAAAAAACTCCGAAACAGCTAATCCATGCTTAATGTCAAGCTGATCTTTTTTGAATATTATCCTTGAAGGCAGCGTTCACCCGGAGTTTCGTCTCTTATTATTGTTTTCGTGGCTTTCCAATACACTAATTCCGGATATGAGGAATTACCAAAAAGCTCCAAAGTTGCCCCTTTCTGAAGAACTGTTTTGGCAGAAGTGGACGAGTGCTCCGACGGTATTCAATCGTATGCAAAGGAAACTCGTCGTCTGCAACAGTGCCACATCATAAACTCTACGTTTCGACGTTGCTTGACATCAGAACAAATCACGGCGCAATCCGTGGGTGGGCGGAGCGCAAAAAAGGAGGCGGAGTACGAAAAGGATCCAAGCCGTTCTCTTCTTTTATAGGCATTAGGACCTTTAAGCGCAATAAGTAATTTGAACGATTTCCACCATTAGTGACTCAAAATATGCAAATTTTGCCAATTGAAAGGCGTCCATACCTTCTATTCTGAAAAGCGTTTTCACATATGGAAGGTAGGCTGAAAATTAGCGCCTCAAGCTCTTCGTAACGGTATGAATCCTGTGGTAAACGACCATTTTGACCAGGCGACACTCTCCCTTGTAAGAGCCGAAGTTGGTCTAAGATTGCAATAGCCTAACCTTCCGGTGGCGATGGTAGTGCTCAAGTCCCTGCCCTTGAATGTTAGAAAGCTTCATATTTTACTTTTTCCTTATCAAGCAATCATACGCCGTTGGTGAGTGCGCATGTCAATGGTCAGAGCTGAAGCTGAAGGTTCATGAGTTTGTTGTGGCAAGAACTAAGTGTTGCAACGTAAAAACTTTATAAGTTTCTTCAGCAATGAGAAAAGTTTAGAAGTTTCCAAACCACCACCAAAAAGATGACTTTTCGATGAGGCATATGTATCCCTGGTAATAATGCACAAGATGAGAGCAAATATGAAGAAGTTGAACACAGCCGACGTTTTTTCCTTTAACATGCTTGACATAATCAAACATTTTTTTCTGGGACCTGGAAATCATCTGTGGTTGCTTTAGTTTGAACGATGAGAAAAGTGAACTTACGTGAAGTATTTCACTTTGTACCCAACTTCCATTTTCTTCACAAACTTTAGTATTTCCTTCACGTTTTTTGGACTTCCGAAGCCATACCGTTTGTAAAAAATAAGGTCATCGGCAACTTCGTTTTCTAGTTTGCAGTCGTACTAGAAGATCAGTACTTCGGAATGTCCGAAAAGGATGTATTCTGTTGGTACGTCAATATCTCTATTCCCACAGTGTCGTTTGAGGTACAGTTCTCTGTAGAGCTGGCTCCAATTCAGATTTACAGTATTAAATTACCGAAAGGTCTTCATTACTGTTGGATTACGGTAAAAATTTCAAGAAAAGTGCTGAGCGTTCACGGTTATATTTTGCCATAGAATGAAAACCAACCAAGCTGAAAACACTTGCACTAAGCCAATTAGTGTCTCCACTCCTTAAAGTAAAACCTGTTTACCGCAGCGATTTGTCTCTGAATGCATATATAACGTAATACCTGTCTTTAATAATCTTTAGAAGGTGAAAACATTACTCAAAAGCCTGTTATCTACATAAAGTTCGACTCGTGAAATCAGCGGCAAAACACTTCTGACATTTTCCCTGGAATTTTCTAGGCAGTTTGATTCAGTATGCCGTTCTATGCTGGGAAGTGTATGTAAATATGCAGTAATGAAAAGCGATTGGTGAATTGCTCCATAAGCATCTAAGTTAAAGTTTCTACACAAGGTGAACAAAGGTCAGCAGAATTTGTAGAGAGTTATCAAAGGTCAAATTCAAACAGTGTATACTTTTTTGGGACACCTTGTATACTGGCAGAGGAAGCTGGAAGAAGATTGTAAAAAGCGTAAACAACAAACCCACCCGAGCTTTTTTCCCTTTGAGCACGTCTCTCAATCCATTTCTAATAATAGGGTTGAGATTATTATCATCGCAATCGTCGTATGCGGCATTAATACACAAAATCACCTGAAATCTCAATGATAAAGTAACTACTTTATATAGGCATTGATCGGTTGTTCTTGAATCTTTGCATGATAATCACTTGTAGACGTTGCTTTCGATACACCAAGATTGGTAACAATACTTTTTATTGACTGACGTCGACATTTCGGCGTTCAACGCCTTCTTCGGAGCCTGGAAAGCCAAAGTCATAAGTGACTATGCAGTCAGACGTCAAGAACAAAACGAAACAAATCGAAAAGGAGATAGCCCACTACTTATATATATTAAGGCGACTTACGCTGAGAATGAAACACAGATGATGTGGTTGACACATCGTTGCTAGTGACCCAATTCCTCTACATCTATTCCAACTAACTCGAACACTGCCTAATCAGTCTAACGGAATAACTGTCACCGGCGACCTGACTCTACAATATTTTGAATCATTCACTTGCCCTGCTGAAGCTACCATAAGTGCTGCTATGTTTATAACCCGCTGACTGCACTTTCCACCTGTATTGGAGGAATTTCGACTGGAGACTATTGCCTCATTTAATCAGTGCAAGATTTGTAAAGTTTTCGCAGTAATGATCGACGACGAATATTCATACAGTAATCGCGTTTCATCATTCAATCACGCATACGTGACTGCGTAATTTCTCTCCGTTTTCTTATATAGAAGCTGGTTCACCAATTTCTTCTATGCTCTGTTACAGGGCTATCAGGACTGCAAGAAAAACGGGAACTTGACGCATTTTCAGTCAAAGCAACTGATCTCAAATGCTATTGCGCGCCTTAAGCCTGAAGCCTTGACCATACCTTACGCAATTTCAGTCGTGACGCAATTAGGCAATACTCCAATTGTCCACAATCTCATCATGAGCGACTCAGGCAACGGATAGGCCGCCGCCGGAGAAATGGCAGGGTCGCGGCGTTTCCCCAGCGGTGGGTCTCCCATTTGTCCGGCGGAGCCCTCCCATTTCTGCTCCGGATACCTCCCATTTTCTGCTCCGGATACCTCCCACTTTCTGCTCCGGATACCTCCCATTTTCTGCTCCGGATACCTCCCACTTTCTGCTCCGGATACCTCCCATTTCTGCTCCGGATACCTCCCATTTTCTGCTCCGGATACCTCCCATTTTCTGCTCCGGATACCTCCCATTTTCTGCTCCGGATACCTCCCATTTTCTGCTCCGGATACCTCCCATTTTCTGCTCCGGTTACCTCCCATTTTCTGCCCCGGATACCTCCCATTTTCTGCTCCGGAGGCCTCCCATTTCTGCTCCGGACCCCTCCGATTTTCTCCGGCGCGGCTCTTCCAAATCTGGCAGAGTCGCGCCGGAGAAATGGCGTACCTTTGCAGCAGGGCCGGAGAAGCCTCCCACTTGCCTGCCAGTGATGTCACCGCGACGGACCGCCCATTTGCCCCTCTCTCATTGGTCAACTGGGTCCGGCGCGACTCTGGCAGATTCGGACTGTCCGGCGGAGGGGTCCGGTCGATTGTCTGAGGAATCCTTAATATGCAGATGATGAGACATTTTATCAATCTACGAAAGTCATAAAGACTTTACTGACTGACTTTGCGGTCTGCCCTGGCATTTGAAGAAATCTGGTAAATTACCAGATTGCGTCGCGACATAAATCGTGTGAAGTGTGGCCAAGGCATATTCCATGTAGTCGATCTAGCACTGTAACGACTCTTTATAATCAGACGTAAGCGCTGGATTTGCTGTCGCGGATTCGCGACTTCCTTCGAAGGAAGCCGCCGGCGCGCTGCGGAGGGGTCCCGAAACGCTGTCCTCGCGCTGTTCCCGCCTTCCCACCGCTGCCGCAGCTTTCAATCAGTCGCCAATGTCGTTACCTGGTGAGGACATTGACGACTGATTGGGTCCCAATTTCGTCTCCCATGCCATCGATCGATGCAGCGCCGTCCCCAACTCGCTCGTCCTCTACATCCAACACGCCACGGAGGAAAGGCGACCCCGCAGACGAGGTAACCCCGTGAGCGCTCGAGCCTGGCACACGCCGGCGACACCGCCAGGGGGTTTCCGATATTGTTGGCACCTAGTTTAACATCGGGCTGGTTGTGCTCCACCCTTGTGTTTGAGTTTAGGGAATAGTTGTGGATAAATGGTGGGCATTTTACACGTGTGATTTGTTTTTGCGGTGAGCCACAGCTCGGCTGTGGCTCCGGGGATATCTTGGTCCGTAGTAATCTACCCTACCTGGTGGCAGGTAGGCACACATCGCGGGGAAGTTGCCATCATCGGCGGCAGCTCGTGGGGTGATTGTAGGTTTCAATAATCTTGTGTAGCCTTAGTGCGCAATCATTTCGCACATCAAATTTTGATGACGCACACAGCCGCAAAACTGCTACCTCGCGCGCGGCCGAACCTAAGTGCGTTAACTTCAAGTGCCACCCCGTTAACCATTCGACCAGTCGGGCAACCATTGCCGATTGCACCAGCAATAGGAGGAACGCACCGGTAAGTGGCCGCCTGTAAGAGGGATCAATACATTGCGTGAGAGACTTTGACCTGAAAGAACAGCTGATTGATATGAGCGAGAGAGGGGCGAAATCGGTGCAAACGGGATTTAGAAGAGATTGCCAAAAAAGATAGTGTTCTTTATGGTTTTAAAGCATGACTAGGTTTTTTCTCTGTAAGAAAATCGTCGTTTTAAAAAAGAAAAACTCATACAATGAGAAAAATGACAGTTTTTTGATGAAAAGTAGAATTTTTGATTTTTCGTGTGACGTAAATTGTGTGATACCGCCGCAATTCGCAAACTCGCAGACGCCGTCGGCAAAGGTGCCACCACCTCGACGTGGTAGGGGCACGTCGAGATGCCGGCAGCTCCCTCTCTCAAAAGAGCACGCTATTTCCCGTGCTCTCTGACCTGCCGGCAGCTGCCATCTCGCGGATTTCGACGAGCTGCCGGCAGGTTGCCGGCAACTGACCTCGCGAAGTTGCCGGCAGCTCCTCCTGCGCTTCCAGATATTTTCCTAAAGGAGAAGTTTTGGAACCGCAGACTTTTATGGAGTTTTCTACAGAGTCGAGGAGGCGGCATCTTTATCGAGAAAATTTTTTTGGAAAAAGGCCTGGGACGGCCTAAATTTGGGGTCTCACTTTCTGGCCATCTCACGGAAAAGGTGCCAGCGACCTGCCGACGAGACCTGCCGCCAGGTCGGGGGGATTACTACCGGCCCTTGTGTCATCAATGTTGGTGTGTATTCTATAATCTCGCCTAATGGGATAGATCTGTTGGAAGGCTGGCACAGTACTAGTTAAGTGCCTTGGTTATATGTACATGCTCCAACTATCGATAGTTGGAAGTATGAGTCGAGTCGCATGTGTCAAGTAGTTGCTAAGTAGGCTGGTGGCAAGGGCCTCTATGTGTGCATGGCATGTTGTGTGGAATTCGCATTCTTACAGGTAACGCCACCACAATGTACGCCACATCCTATCCCGGATGGGACCCCTGGCTCCCCTCGCCGATGCAGGAGAGCAACGATACCACTGACATTAGGAGCTGGGGGCTCAATCCGCGACATTTACGACAATTTGCGAAAGAAAGCTATGCGCCCATGGACCTAAAACTCGTATACCTTCAATCTGTGCATCTGATAAATCTCAAGTCGTGTGGCAGCGCGGAATCGCGGGAGTATGTTTTAGGCTCTATAAATCAGTTTCTCCACTGGCTTGCTTCTTTCAAGGCCCATGATTTCGCGGAAATATAACTCTATTTGAGACAACACAAAAGATTTATTTTATTAATAATCAAAAGATGCACTACGTTGATAAAGCAGAAGATGCTCTATCTAAAAACCGTATAATATCTTGTCAAGGTTTTTAGAAAACTAGTTAAAGTCTTGTATTTTGTTTCCTCTTTATGTCTTGTTTTCATATTTCGTAAAAAGACAATATTATCCTAAGGAATCAAAAATCTTCCATTGCTATCGAAATCGCTACGACGTCTCGAGGACAAACATTAATTCTTATATGTTTTGATAATCAGTTATAGCCCTAATAATACATGCCATAACCGTAATATCGTTTTCCATGTTTCAGCTTTTCCAACATTTTGAACTGGCTGGATTTTTTCAACATGGGTCAGCTATATAACATAGAATACCGTTCATAATCTGTATCTATGGAGCTGAATGTCTGTATGAGTGCCTGTAAGTATGTTCCGTTCTATTTCTGCACCGAGCCGAACCAAACTTGGCACACTTACACTTCACGGAGGGGCATGCGTTGTAGGCTACTTCTCGTTATCGAACGGTATCGATTTTATCGTTTTTTGCAAAGTTTGAGCTACATAGCTGGGAGTTGGCACAGGGGAGGAGCGTAAGTGAGCAGACTGACTGCGATTATATTACTGACAGGTCCGGGCGGGCTGGGTTTGCCAGCTAGTTTGTGAACATAACTGCCACGTTCGACGAGCTCAGCCGCCGTAACGCTAAGTCATTAATTTTTGCTCTTTTGCGAAACCTGTATTTCTGACGCTAAATTTTTTTCAGAACGAATTTTGCATCTAGGGACATCAGTCTAGGTACCAATTGCGTGGTTTCTACTCTTAGCAATCATTAAATTGAACAAACTTTGCACACATACACATCAGGGCGGGGAGAGCATGGGCTATATAGTTTTCGTTGTTGTTCGACATCGACTTAAAATTTCGTAAACTTAGGCGACTTGGTTCTTTATGGTTTTTCTTTATCAAAATCTTTGCGGTTTGCCCTGGGCTACGACTTCTCGAAAATTACTGGAATAAAAATTCCCAAACTTTTCGTTAACCCACGGCCACCTTTATGCAAAGTATTGAGCCGTTCCGAAAGTATACTTCTTTTTTTAAATAAACGATACATTTTGTGAACGATTGAGATCTCGGTAGCTTCGACACAGCATCTCCTCTTTCTAGCGGTTATAAATCATTCCCGTGAAATGAGCTCGAAAATTACCAAAAGTTCCTGCTATTGTTTAATGAGGAGATTATTGCTCCATCAGTATAGTACTACATCTCTGCCCTGTACAAAGTGTTAATGGTTTGTTATCACACTAGAAAACAATTAACAAACATTATGTGCTGCGTTCGATTTGTTATTTGAATAGACGCACCTCTCTTAGTTCAGCCATTTAAGGATTGCTATTGCTACAATGACTCAACAGGACACACTATTAAAAGCAATTTCCCTTCCCTGTCAACCAAACGTTTGATGCACTTCATAGTACTAAAAATGGCAAACAAAGCACTTTTGGCTAACTAGGTTAGCTGTAGCTGTATGAAGCTACCACGTGGTAAATAGGGTGGTTGCTATTTCGACAGAGAAGA